CCCCCCCCCCCCCCCCCCCCCAGCCCCAAGGCTCTTGAGGGCTTTGGAAGTTCATGATCTGCGTTGATGCAGATCCCGCCCCCGGCACATAGAGTCAGAGATTCGTGGGTTTTCGTTCCAGAACTTTTTCTGGATTGTTCTTGGACGGTGCCCTCCCCTCGTTTTCTCTCCCTCTTTCCGGAGTTCCTGTTGGTCGGATGTTGGCGATTTCCTGGACGTCTTTCCCTGACTGCTGTGGCCCGTTTATCTGGTGGTGATCTTTTCCGTTTCCCGGCGGTGTCTCCTCCGACGGTGATGGCTCCCTGCTGCGCCCCCATCTCCAAGGGTTTTCTGGCGTGAAATGCTTTTCCTCTTGTCACCTCCTTCACACTTCCTTACTTCCCCGTTCTCATTCGGGCCTCTGTCCCTCCTGTTGGAGGCTTTCCTCACACCCCGGGGCCTCCTCGGCTGCCATCTCTCCAAGAGGCACCAGGGGCTCACCGGCTCCTCTCTGTGCCCACGGTCGCACCTGCTGGTCCACGGTCGCGCCTGTGGGGCACAGACTCGGCCCTGTTCCCTCCTTCCACGGGGGTGTGTCTCCTGCCGGGGGTCCTTGAAGCCGAGTAGCGCAGGGACCGGGTCTCGTCCAGGGTTAGGACGGGGCCCCCTTTTCCGGCTGCTGAGCCCAGGCTGCCTGGCTCCGGGGCTCCCCGGGTCTGCCCTCTCCAAGGCGGTTGCTGGCCGAGCAGGGTAGTAGAGGGCCACCGTCCTTGGCCTCGGCCGCTCACTCCCAACCTGGGCGCTTCCCTCGGGCTCTGGCTTCGGCCTGGCCTGGTTTCTGGCTGGACTCCTGCCGCGCGTGCTCGGCTGACCCCCCCGTCTGTTTTCTGTCTCGGAGGAACAGTCTCTGTCGCTCTGATTCTCTGTGTTGGAGTCGCTGCCATCTGGTGCGGACGTGCTGTTGCGGCGGGCGCCCCGGCACAGCCACGGCCTCCCTGTGGCCACGAGACACCGTGTCTGCCTTCTCTCCTTCCCTGCCGTCCTCTGGTTATGACAGGCAGGAATCGTGTCCCCAGAGAGCATCACGTCTTCCGTCCCCGAGGATGTGCACAGAACCCGCAGGGACCCTCTGCCGAGGCGAGAGCGGCACCCGCCCCCTCGGGAAAGGCGCTCTCCCCGCGGGAGCCCGTGTTCCGGCTGATGCGGCCTGGCCTTTTCTTGCTCTCGTGTTCATTTTGGACTTCCTTTTTCTTTTTAATGTTTGTTCATTTTTGAGAGGGAGAACATGTGCACGTGTGAGGGAGGGGCAGAGAGAGAGGGAGACAATCCCAAGCAGGCTCCTCACGGTCCGCGTAGAGCCTGACGCGGGGCTTGAAGTCACGGACCGCGAGATCCTGACCTGAGCCAAAATCAGGGGTTGAGGCTTAACCGACCGAGCCCCCCAGGCGCCCTATTCGTTTCAGACTTTCTGATTACTTTTCTGTGTAGAAAAAACAGGAAGAGAAAGCCCCGGATAGAGAAGCTATATTCCGGGCCACCGCCAACCTGCCCTCCTACAACATGGACCGGGCCGAGGTCCAGACCAACATCAGAGACGTGAGTGCCCGCCATGGGCCACGCCACGTGCTCCTCACGCCTGCGTGGGGGCCGTGCTTGGGGAAGGTGGGGGGAAGGACAAACAGGAGTCCCGTGTGCGTTTTTGCAGCTTCTCCGTAGACCTTAAACGATTTCAAAATAAAAAGGTTAAGAAGACATTGGAAAGTGGGACCGCAAAGGTAGATGCTACTGGAAAATACTAGAGTTTTGCCCGAAGTTTGGTAAAAACTGGTAGAGAGAAATCTGGACCCTTAGTAATTTTGGATGCAAAGTCCTGAGCTAGAAAAGCAGGGTGTGTCCGGTATCCCATGGAGCGGTCCCAGCAGGGTGCAGCGTGCCCCGCGGACTGGGACCGCGTGGCCGCCGGCTCCGAGAGTGCCACCACGGCCCTGCTCACCTCAGCAGCAGAGTGTGCCGTCGCACTCTGCACGCCTGCCCCGGCCCGCACGCGGTTTGCCCCGTGCGTGTCCTTCCTGCGGCGTTGGAGGCCCGTCATGGGAACGAGCGGTGGCCGGCCCCTGTGTCGCCCGTGGGACCGGGGACCCACCCGTAGAGGGTTCTGATCGAGTTCCCAGCAGCCTTCTTCCTGGTGAGAGCCCGAGGCCTGTGCGGGGGGCCCGGTGGGTCAGGCTGCTCTCTTCCCCTTCCGTGCCGGGTGCTTTCTGTGTCGGCCCAGGGGCTGAGTGGTGTCGCCCGTCCGACGCCTCCCTGCCCGGCACAGGGTCCTGCCGGTCCGGTCTCCCCCGCCTCTGGTGTTGCGGAAGCGGCAGCAGCATAGTTGGGACTGGGATGTGGGGTCTAGGGCCCAGGAGCGCGGTTACACCTCCAGGCGGGTCTCGGGCACGTGAAGCAGTTAAGAGCCTTTTTCTCCTTTCCTGCAGTTCCAGACGGAACTCCGGAAGATCCTGGTGTCTCTCATCGAGGTGGCACAGAAGTTGTTAGCGCTGAACCCGGATGCGGTCGAGCTGTTCAAGAAGGCGAACGGTACGAGCAAGCCCGGGTCGGCCGCGATCCTGCGCTTGGACCCGCCGTGGGCCCCGCGGCGCCCGTTCACTGGCCACGGCCCCGGGGTCACACGGGGGGCGGAAGAATGCTTTATGTTTGTGCTTTCAGTTGACGTGGGCTCCTGTCCACACGGGTGCCGGCCGAGGCACCGTGTGGATTTGCTGAGGATTCGGGGGGTTGGCACGCACCTGGGACCCCGGGCCCCTCGCGCTGGCCCGGCCCTCACGGGTCGCCCCGTCTCTCGCCCACAGCGATGCTGGACGAAGAGGAGGACGGGCGAGTGGACGAGGCAGCCCTGCGGCAGCTCACGGAGATGGGCTTCCCGGAGAGCAGGGCCGCCAAGGCCCTGCGGCTGAACCAGTACGTGTGGGCCACCTCCTCCCCTTGCTGCCGATGCTGTGGGTTCCCCCGGGGTGACGTCCTCCGTCCCAAACTCTCTGATTGAACCGTTTCTGATAGATGTGAGTTTTTAAAGACAAATCCTGCACGCACATCCCCGAGGTAAGCTAGTGGGGCACCTCCATTGTCTCAGGACAGTGTGATGTGGCCTCGCCCTCGCTGGGGACGGGCCAGGGTGGCCGGGTCCCCCCGGGCCGTCGTTGCCAGCGCTGCGTGGAAGCCTGCCTGTGGCAGGGACGTGGCGGCCCGGAGCCGTGTCCTCTTAAGCAGCCTCCTACGCCTGCCCCGCCGCAGCCGCTTGCCTTTGCGTCCACACTCAGCTCTGAAACGAGCGCCTTGACAGCCAGAGGACGGTCGGAGGGGGCTCTGCTCTTGGCCTTGGACCTAAAAGTCTCACGTTCTTCATGAGCTTATGGCCCTTGCTTAGTGAATGGGTCTCTGTGCTGTGGCCGGGGTCTTAGGGGGTTTCGGGACCAGGGCCACGGCCTGTCCCAAGGGGTCCCCAGCTCCTGCCAGAGAACCTTCCAGTGAGATGTGAAGGAGGTGGGAGGCCCTCAATGATTGGCCTGGGCCATCTGGAAAGTCTCTTGTCACCTTTCAGCATGTCGGTGCCTCAGGCCATGGAGTGGTTGATCGAACACGCAGAAGACCCGACCATCGACACGCCTCTTCCGGGCCAGGCCTCTCCGGGAGGGGCCGAGGCCGCCCCTGAGGCTGCCTCCGAGGCGGCCGGGACTAGCACCGGAGACGAGGAGCCCAGAGATGAGCTAACGGAGATCTTCAAGAAGATCCGGAGGAAAAGGGAGTTCCGGGCCGATGCTCGGGTACGTGCTCCAGGGCCTGGACACCGCCCGGCAGGGTTGGCGTTTGTCCACGTGGGGCTGCGCCGTGTGGAGGAAGCTGGACCTGGTGAGGGGCTTATCGTCAGGCCCACGTTCGGTTTTCACTTGTCCTCACGTGAATCCAGGTGGCTGTTTTTCCTCCGAATATTCCTCCAGATATTCATTTGTCACCTGAAAACTCACGACGGTCCTGTCCACGTTCCCGCCGTGAGTGAGTCGTGGGCTTGGGTGGGGACGCTGCCCGGAGACCAGAGGCTGGGGCGCCGCAGGACTGTCTGTGGACAGGGAGGCGGTCAGGGTCTGACCACCTGGTCGTGGTGTCTGTGGGATGTCAGGACCCGAGGCCTGGGCCATCTCGGGCTGCACTTGGCCCGCTGACGTTCGTGTCTGGTGTGGCCGCCCTCCACTGTCGCCTCCTCCTGGGTGCTTTTGTGGCTCCCTGTTCTCCACTGTTCGGTCATTTGACCAGGGTCGTGATTTCCCCTCGGATGTTTTCTGTGCTTTAAGACTGCGGTTTTCTTTCAGAGTATAGATGGGTCATTTCGAGGTGTTAGGGCTCTGAGTCCATGAGTTCCTGACTTGGGGTGCTGTGTTGTCCCGCGGGCTCGTGGGATGCCCACCCTAGCCTATCCTGCACCTGTTTCCCTGGGTCGAGCGGCACCTCCCGCCAGGGGCCCGGTTCGCGCTGACTGCACATGGTGTGAGCCCTGGCTCTGGGGGCCGACCGCTCCCCGCACGGGGGCCGGTGCTGTTCTGACTCGTCTTCCCTCTGGGGGTGCAGACCCCTTCCAGGGTGCCGGGTTTAGGTACAGAGCCCTTCCAGGGTGCCGGGTGCAAGCTCCAGCTTGTCGTCTCACATGGACCCAAGGCCCACGTCCTGTCTGCGTGTGCACGTTAGACCCTGACCCCCAGGCCCTGCTAACGCCCCTGCCCCCTCCCCGGCTAGTTTGCTGTTCTGTCTGCTTTCTTGTGAGCTCAGCTACAGCTGAGCCCGTAGCTGGTGTTTCTAGAGCCTGGTCTGGGCGCCGGGCTGAGCCCCATGGGAGGGGAGGCCGTGTTCCTGGAGGGTGCTCTGTGCTCCTCCGGGCTCCGGACTTCCCTGGAGGGTGGTCTCACGTTGTCCTCGTCGGGCACACCACTGCTCAGCCGGTGGTCTTTGCTGCCCTCTCAACCTCGTGACGCCGAGTGACACCTGAGGTGCTCTTCTCCCAAGACGCATGCCTGTGCCAGGCCTTCCTGTCCCCTCTTTGCGGTAGATGTTCTGTGACGATTGCTGCAAAAGGCTGACGCAGGACATCATCGTCTCCCACCCTCTGGTTCCACACCATTTGAAAGGATAGTCTGGAAGGACGGGAGTGTTGGTGTGGCTCCCAGGAGGTCTGGATCAGGGAGCAGGGCTTGGACTGGAGACCAGGACGGACTTTTCGCGGTCTCTTCCCCGCCCCCCACGCCAACGCCAGCTGCGGGGGGACAGTGCGTGCGGTGCGTGGGGCAGGCAGAGCCCGGGTCTTGGGGCCTGTGAGCGCGTGGACCCTGGCAGGCGGGCTGGGGGCGTGACCCCAGAGTCCCCGTGCGGAAGGCCGGGGCCGTGGTTTCTCTAGGCTGAGCCGGGAGTGCGTGAAAGGAGAGGAAGGTTTTTATTGACGTTCACAGGAAGATCTCCGCGTGCTTGGATTTAGCGGGAGGTCCCGGTGATTTCATGTGACCCGGGGGTCAACTACCACATGGTGCGTTCTTCTCCTAGGATTTGCGGGGGGACCCCCACCCCCGCCAGCCCTGGGGTTAGGAGCTGCTTCGGGAAAGGAAAGGAAGTGGGTCATCGCACAGATGCTTTCTCGTGAGCTCACTGGACACCGTTTGGCCCCAGTGAAGCATCTTTCTGGCTGCCGCCCCGGCTGACTTCCCGTCCTACCGGGTGCTCTCTGAGACACCCGTCGGGCCGGTCCAGCCTGGGCATGGCCGCCAGCACCCACACCTGGGCGTGTGGCGAGGTAGAGTGGTTAACACGGAAAAGTCTACCAGGAAGAAGACGGGGACCCAGTTCACGAGAGTGTGGTTTGATCTCCATGCAATTAACTTGATGAAATCTTTTACCTTTTTCCCCCCCCCCCAAAATTGACCCTTTTAAAGATTGCACGATAAAAGTCAAGGGTAAAGTGAAGGATGTAACGTGTTCTGTGGTTTTTGTCCTGAAATCGTACATCTCTCGTCCCCAGAATGTCGAACGTTGGGTCGTTGTTCCCTCTGAGAATTCTCAAACGTTTATGTTTACAGTTTATATTTTGTTAAGTGTAAGATGTTTGAAGTTAATTTTAGTGTCATTTTTTAAAGAATAAAACGTGCAGAAACCTCCTTTCTGTTTCCCGCAAGTGAGCAGGATCTTTTCCCCCCACCTCAGTCGGGTTTGCTTCCCTCATGGTCTCTCCCTCACCCTTTCGTTCTGGGGACCGGGGCCCCTGCAGAGAGCTCACGGTGGTGGTGGAGACCTTTCTGGCCACACACGGGGACAGAGCTAAAAGGGTCTGATGCTGGTGTGGCCTGCCCGTGGCATGTCGGTCAGCAGGCTTCCCGGTGTGGATCCGGGCCACACGGCCCGGCTCCCTGGTCCTCAGCGAGCGCGCACTGAGTGGCCTGTGGGTTCTCCTTCAGGCCGTCGTTTCCCTGATGGAGATGGGGTTCGACGAGAAGGAAGTGATAGACGCCCTCAGAGTGAACAACAACCAGCAGAACGCTGCCGTGAGTACCGCCGCGCGTCCTCGTGCCAGCGACGCTCTGCCCTCGCCCGCGTCACGTGCATCAGGCTCCTGTCCCAGGCGGTCCGTTCTTTCCGAGGGAGACGAGAGGGTCGATGGTGTCACAGTATAACGTGTTTTGCATACCGAGAAAGTTCTGGGCCTTGTTTTTCTTTTTTTCTGTTTCTTTCTTTCATTCTTCTTTCTTTCTTTCTTTCTTTCATTCTTCTTTCTTTCTTTCTTTCTTTCTTTCTTTCTTTCTTTCTTTCTTTCTTTCATTCTTCTTTCTTTCTTTCTTTCTTTCTTTCTTTCTTTCTTTCTTTTTCTTTCTTTAAGTTTGCATGTTAATTTTGAGAGAGAGAGAGAGAGCAGGGGAGGGGCAGAGAGACAGGTAGAGAGGGAATCCCAGGCAGGCTTCATGCTGTCAGCACAGAGCCCGACGTGGGGAACGAACCCACGAAGCTGCGGGATCATGACCTGAGCGGAAACCAAGAGTCAGACGCTTAACTGACTGAGCCCCCCAGGCGCCCCGGGATCTGTCTTTGTACGACCCCGTGCGTTCCTTGGCACGCATGCGAGTCGTTAGTTGGCTGAGCTGACCTGGGACGGGTCCCAGGCTGTGGACCCACGGCAGCTGCCCGAGGAGGGCGTGGTGGTGGGGCGGGGACCTCCGGGGATGCAGCCTGGGGGTTCCATGCCTCTCTTCATTCTCCTCCCGGCGCCCCGCGCGGGTCCTGCCGAGACGTCCCAGGCAGGCTTCGTGCTGTCAGCACAGCTGGGATCTGCTGGCCGTGCCGACACCGGAGCCCCCCCGGCCTGGGCCCCTCCCTGGGGGCAGCCGCTGCCGGTGGGGGCTCAGGAGCGACTAACGTGTGTGTGACTTTTGCGTCCGCAGTGCGAGTGGCTGCTGGGAGACCGGAAGCCCTCCCCCGAGGAGCTGGACAAGGGCATCGACCCCGACAGCCCCCTCTTTCAAGCCATCCTGGATAATCCAGTGGTGCAGCTGGGCCTGACCAACCCTAAAACGTTACTAGGTACGTGGGCTTCCCCAGGGGCGGGCCCCGCCACACCGCGTGGATTTCACCGAGTGACACCGATGTCCCTGTCACCTTCGGGGAGCTCCTGCCTGAGTCACGGTGGGGCCCGGTGGCCGGGCTGTGGCCGTGGTGTGGCGGCCTCCCGTGCAGACGACTAGGACGAGCCGTGGGCACCAGAGTGGCCCGTCCAGGTTGAGGAGAGCGCGGGCAGCGCCCCGCGGGCCGGGGCCAGGTGTGCGGGAGACATTGACCTCTGCTCTTTCTGGTCGCGAGGGCTTTCTCTGGCCCTCCGTCTGACCGTGAAACAGCCTGCGTCCGGAAGCGCATGTGGTTTTTGTGACTCGCAGAATAGTAACGAAACTAAGACCCACACATCCTTTTGGCTTCAGAGGATGGGATGGGAAGAGCCTGGGGACGCCCGGTGGCCGGGTCGGTTAAGCCTCTGACTCTTGATTTCTGCTCAGGCCGTGATCCCAGTTCGTGAGTTCGAGCCCCACGTCGGTCTCTGTGCCGACAGCACAGAACCTGCTTGGGATTCTCCCTCTCTGTGCCCCTCCCCCACTCGTTCTCTTTCTCGCTTTCTCTCTCTCTCTCAAATCAATAAACTGAAAAAGGCACCACCAACAGTGTGGAATTCTAGGCCCTGCGGGTCCTCCGGTCCCCTCCCCCACCCCAGGAGCGGGCCTTCATCGTCCCGTGGGCCCCTCGGGGGCAGCGTGCCTGTGTCTGTGCCCGAGCCCCACCCCCCATCACCCGCGTCTGCCAGCTGCTTTGCTGTCACCTCCACCTTGGGGCTTGGTCGGGGCTCATCCTGTGTCCACACCTTCCCCTTTGTCTCTCGTCGCATGTGCAGACGTCCTGTTCGCGCTCCTGTTCTGGACAGGTGTTTCTTTGGGACGTTGGCAGGTGCGAGTCTGGTAGGAGACAGTCCTCGCTCTGATAGATGTCCGTCCTTGCCGTCTGTCCCACCCAGCCCCTGGGGCCCCGCGTCGTTTACCCCTGTCCCCAGGACGGCTCTAGGTGCCAGGAGGCGGCGGGTGGGGTGCCCAGCACGTTCACGGAGCCGCCGGTCCTTCCTCACTGACCCCATGCTGTGTGCTTCCTCGAGTTCGCCTGGACGCCCTGCCGTCCTTCTGGGCTCCCTGTCTGATACTCGTGACTGGTTTCCGGAGGGTGCCCATCAGGGGTCCCCCGGTGGTTTTAAGGGCTGGGAGGGCTGTCAGGTCACACAAGCAAGTGACTAAGTCAGACTTTCTTGCTACACCGCGGTCCCGTGTGGCCCTGAAGCGCCATGAGCAGACAGGGTGAGTGCGCTCCCCGAGGCTGGTGCGCGTGGGGCCGCTCCGCACTTCCGCGTGTGCTGACGGGTGAGGCCGGAGGGAGGACGGCACTTTCCAGACCTGTAGCCTGTGAGCTCACACGGCCAGGGTTTGCGGGGGACAGCCGTGTGCTGGGAGACACCTTCTGTCAGATTTTATTTGTAAGTCGTTTCTACACCCGACGTGGGGCTCGAACCACAACCCTGGGATGTGGGGTTCCTGCTGAGCTGCCCAGGCGCCCCTCACTCACATTTTTAATGCTCGGGTTTTTTTGTTGTTCTTTTAAAAATGTTTTAAATGTTGATATTTATTTTGAGAGAGAGTGCGTGTGCAAACAGGGGAGGGGCAGAGAGAGAGGGAGACACAGAATCCCAAGCAGGCTCCAGGCTGTCAGCACAGAGCCTGACGCGGGGCTCAAACTCACAAACCGGGAGATCATGACCTGAGTCAAAGTCAAGTCGGACACTTCACCGACTGAGCCGCACAGGTGGCCCCGCGTCCGGTGTTTTAAGTCATTTCCTGAACACTGAACATTCTCATTTTCCCAATCAGATATCGTTAAATTTGCAACAGTGTTTTTATGTCTTTTCTGCATCTGATTATTTTGCCAGGATAGGGTTGGAATTGGAATTACTGAGTCATAGGCTGCGACTATTTTTAAGATCGCGGGTAGCCGTTGCCAGATTGCTTTCCAGAATCGGTGCGCCAGCAAGCACACGGGCACGCCGCCTGCCCGCCCAGGGCTGGAGGCGCGGGTGCCCCGATGGGCTGAGCAGATCAGACGTTGCCGGGGGGTTGTTGGGGAGGGGTGACCCGGATACTCACGGCTCACCCTTTAAGGGCCGGTTGAGAGGCAAGTCTGTGGTACTTGACTGCGTGCCGAGAGCTGTGTCTCAGCCGGCCTTGCCGTGTTCTCCCCGCAGCGTTTGAGGACATGCTGGAAAACCCACTGAACAGCACCCAGTGGATGAACGACCCGGAGACGGGGCCGGTCATGCTGCAGATCTCCAGGATCTTCCAGACCCTGAACCGCGCGTAGGCGCAAGTGCGGCCGCTCCCCTGCACGGCTCCAGCGCCTGTCCGGGAGCCGGGGCGGCCCCAGCCACGGCCCTCTTCTACCCGCCAGCCTGCCAGCCAGCCGCGGAGGAGCGTGGAGGCCCCTCGGTGCCAGTGCCGCAGGCTGGGGGGGGAGGGGGAGGCTCGCCGGACCCCGCCCTCCGCACCCCACCCCGGGTCGTCAGGGCTCGGGGGCCCTTCTCCGGCTTTGACCTTCTGCTGAAACACTCGTGTGATGGCAGCGTGCACGGCCGGCCGCATCTCCAGCCTCCAACAGTGTTTACAGGCGTGGATGCCCCGGGAGGGGTCCCCTCCCTCCACAGTGTCCCTCTGGGCTCTGGAGACGCTCTTTGACCCGACCCGCAGGCGCCGCTTGTCACTTGGAAGAAGGCATGTTTCGACCCAAAGTGTGAAGTCAGTACTGACTTATGTAGAGGAAATCACAGATGATTTTTCTTTAATAAATAAATTCCCTTTTTGCTATTGTCATAGTGTGACTTTAGCGCCGGAGAGGGGCTTGTGCGCTCCCGACAAAGCACGCCCGCCGCGCCTGTCCCGCTCCGGGCAGTCGCTGCCCCCTCGGCGTGGCGGGCTGCCCGGGCTCGCGTCTTGGGGGCAGAACAGCGGTTCCGACTGGAGTGGATGGTCTGTATGGGTCTGTATGGGCCCGGCGAGCGCTCCCAGGCCTCCGAGGGCGGACCGGATGCCGGTGGGGCTGCCTTGCCTTTGTAAACGTTACTCGCGTCGCAAAATGAGAAAATGGGTTAGCGCTTTGCTTTTTTTTCAGTGCTGCTCGTTACTTACTGCTTGACGCGTTTTTCAGATGTTTTTCTGAACTCGTCTTCTGCGGCAGCCCCACCTGCCTGGGCCCGGACCTGGGTGCGCTCGGCCGTCGGCTGCGCGGTCAGGTGCGGGCTGGGGGCCTCCTCGCTGCCCCGGGGCCTCCGCCGCTTGCCCGCCCCGCTCAGCTGAGCGCAGGTGTTGTAAGGAAACGTTTCTTTCCGCAGATCTGGGTTTTTCTCATTCTTTTGATTCAGACTTAGAACTTGTGGACAGAATAGTAAAAACTTTTACAGGTAGCGAATCTCACATTTTCTAAGCCTGAGGCGGTCTCCACCGCGGTGCGCCTGGGGGCTCAGTCGGTTAAGCTTCCGGCTCTTGATTCCGGCTCAGGTCATGATCTCAAGCTTCGTGAATTCGAGCCCCATAGAGATCTCCGCACTGACAGCACGGAGTGTGCTTGGGATTCGTTCTCTCTCTCTCTCAAAATAAGTAAGCAGTAAAAAAAAAAAAAAAATACAGTCCCAGCTGTTCCCGAAGCACCAGGGATGTGCCCTGCACTCCCATTATTTGTGCCCTGTCTTTAAAGCGACCGACCGGAAGGGTTCTTAGGCCTCGTGACTTTCTCCTCTGCCTCACGGCAAAGCAGTGAGCCACGGGGCCGTGGCCTCCGTGCCCCGGACTCCGAGCCCCACGCAAGGGGCGGTGCGCTTTGCAGTCTCCGTGTGGAAGCACATTCCTGGTCGAACCGCTCGAAGGCAACACCCCGGGGCCGGCCCTGCGGCGTGGCGGCTGTGGACCGCCTCGTGGGCCAGGCCTCAGGCCACCCTGTGCACCTTCTTTTCTGTCCACTGTGTAAGGACATTCCTCAGGAGGGAAAGCGTGTCCGACCCTGGCTCGGAGCCTGTTCTCTGACCGACACGGCCGTGTTGCCTGCTGGGGGTTGGTTTCGGTCGGGCGGCGGCAGCTCGTGGTGCCCTCCCCGGGGGGCCGATGGCCTGTCTGGGCTCCGGCTCCTGCAAGGCTTCCCTCCCTGCTTGGGGACCTGTGCTGCGGCCCCCCGGGCGTGGGGAGCTGCGGCCCTTGTGACTGATGAGGGCCTGCCCTACGCGCCTGCAGAAGGACATCGCTGGCGTGTCACCAGTGCACGTGTACCAGTGCACGTGTGCAGACTGCGGTGCAAGGCCCTTTCCCCACTGTGGTCCGTCTTCCTGGGAGCCTCACCCCTGTCTCAGGCGTGGCCCGGTGAGTGGGAAAGGCCGAGGAGAGGCCTCAGTGCACGGCCGGTGGCGCAGGTCTCTGTCCAAGGGGAGAGGCGGCCGAACTGTTCCGTCCCCCAGCCTGTCCGCGGGCGGCCGTGCTGCCAGGGCAGGTGGGGGACTGCCCCCTCTGTAACAGACATCTCATGATGTCTGCTTCAGTGTCTGCAACGAGAGTTTGAGAAAATACAACCTAATTCCACGCGTGGTTTGAGAATTCAAGGCGTGCCTGGGTGGCTCAGTCGGTTAAGCCTCCGACTTCGGCTCAGGTCATGATCTCACGGTTTGTGGGTTCGAGCCCCGTGTCAGGTTCTGTGCTGACGGCTCGGAGCCTGGAGCCTGCTTCCGATTCTGTGTCTCCCTCTCTCTGACCCTCCCCCGTTCATGCTCTGTCTCTCTCTCTCTCTCAAAGATAAACATTAAAAAAAAGAAAAAAGCCCACCTAATGCCGTAACAGGAGTGTGAAAGATAAAGATAGAATTTGAATTGGATGAACGGACGTCTCCAGCATGGCCATCGTGGAAGGAAAAGTGACGCTGTCGTTTCCTGCGCCTGTGACTTGTCACTGCCCTCGGTGGCCTCGCGCTCAGGCCGCCAGACCGAAGCAAAGGTAACGGTTTGTGACCTAAATCCTGGGGCTCCCGGGATGGGCCAGGGCTCGCTGACATTCTAGACACTGCCAAGTGCAGGCTTCCTGGACCAGCTCGGCCACGTTCTGGGGCGATTCCAGGGGAGCTAGTGCAAAGGGCTGTGTGCTCAAGGCGGAGCTGGTCTCTAGGTGCGGGCAGCGCAGGGAGGGGGGGAGCTCGTGATGCCTGGCGGGCCGAGGGGAGCTGGGCACCCGGTGGATGAGGCACCGCACATTTTTGGGAGGCCTGGGCTCGGGGCAGGTGTGTGGGAGGCCCGGGGTGAGAAGGACGAGAAGGAGCGCGCTGGGGGTTCCTCTTTCCCCTCTGGGCACCCCTCCCGCGTGCCCCGCCTTCTCGCAGGCTCTCGACTCCGCAGGGGGCTGTGGCAGGGGTGATGAAGCCCGATGTGTATCAAGAGGCCCCTTCCCGGTGCAACGTCCCCTCAAGGCTTCACCTTTAAAGCCGGTTTGGAACCGGGTGGCATTTCTGGCCAGGACGCTGGGTACTGGCCTGACCCGAGCGCGTCCTCCCTAGGAGAGAGGGCACCGAAGCCGGGGCGGGAGGCCGCTGGCCCGCGCTGGGTACAAGCCCCAGCAGCTCCCCGCAGGCCTGCACCCCAGGCTTTCCTTCCTTTGCCCGGACCAGGAACGTGGGCGCTCCCAGTTGGCGCTCAGGCCCGGGGACTCTTCCCTGTTGCCTCCCATTGCCCTCGCCATCCCTTCCTGAGTGGCAGCAGGTAATGGAGGGTGTGGGGTCCACGGGCCATCGGATTGTCCCCGGAACGGCCCTCGCCGCACACTGTCCCTCTGGGAACCGGGCGGCTGTTTTAAGTCAGATGTGGGCCCCAGGGAAGGGGAGCGTCTGCTCCGAGCAGCAGAGATAGGGTGCATCTGGAGAATGCATCCTTCTCAAGAGCGTTTGCTTCCAAAATGAAAAGGTCCCACCGAAGGAGGCTCGGCCAGCAGTTCTGCCCAGCTCACTCGTGAAATGCTTCTGGATCATCAGGTGAGTGTTCCAGAAGAGCCCGGCCCTGACCGTTGCTGGGCGTCGCGTCAGGGCCTCCCTGGCCCACGGCCTCCTGCCTGGTGAGGAGTCAGGGTCCACCCCGTCACCCCGTTGTTGGCACCTCGGCGGTGTGGTGTGGTGTGAGCACGGTGCCGGGAGCCCGTGGCGGTCTCAGAGGGGCTCTGGGAAACGTGTGGAAGCCTGGGCTGCCGGCCCCCAGGCTCCCTTCCCATCGGCCCCTGTGCCCCACCCCGCCCCACCCCCGTCTCCGGCGCTCTCCGCCCGGGACCATCCACTCGTGTCTGTGAAGCGTGGCACGTCGGTCCTCATGGGAAGATGGGTCTCCGCCCTCCTCCTGGCACCGGGGCTTTCTGCCAAGCACTCAGTCATGGCGTGTGGTCCCCTGCCCCGGCCGGGACGTCCCTGGGACCTCCACGTGTGCCTGCCTATCCGCTGGGCCCCCGGAGCGGCCTCTGCTACCGAGCGTGGGCCCACGGGGTGGGGGTGGGGGCCCCTCCGCGCCCTGCCGCGAGGCCTTTCTGGGTCCGAGCGGGAATGTGCTTGTCTCCCTCCAACCGTCCAGCTGGGACACGGGCGCCCATGCAGTGTCCTGTGCCCACACATCCCAGCCCTGGCCCGCGAGGACCGGCCGCAGCTGGACGACGTGACGGGATCTCTCCTGCTCGTCCCTGCCAGTTGTCACACCGGGCGCTGACGCAGGGTCGCCTCCTTGGAGGACGTGCCGGGGCGCCCGGCAGACGCCCCTTCGGGGGCGTTTTCCTAAGTTAGAGGTGCCCGGTGAGAACATGGTCCTCAGCCGCAGCCCTCGGGTCCAAACGCTGCCGTCCAGGGATCACCACCCGGGAACGCGGCCTGACGCCATCCCCCCTGCCTTCCGGGGTGAAGTCCGTTTGCCCTGGATCCAGGTCCTGGGATTTGTGGGTAACCCTCAGACAAGCCGGGTCTGGGTGGTGGTGACTTTCTGATGTTTTACGTCTGTGCTGAGGAAATCATTTCCTGTATGTTTAAGGATATTACCCCCCTTTTTATTTATTTCAAATTTTTTTAACGTTTTATTTATTTTTGAGACAGAGACAGAGTGTGAGCAGGGGAGGGGCAGAGAGAGAGGGAGACGCAGAATCCAAAGCAGGCTCCAGGCTGAACTGTCAGCACGGAGCCTGATGTGGGGCTCCAACTCACGAACCGTGAGATCATGACCCGAGCCAAAGTCGGACGCTTAACCGACGGACGGAGCCACCCAGGCACCCCCATTACCCCCCTTTTTAATTATTTTGAGAGAGCACGCATACACAAGCGGGGGAGGGACAGAGAGAGAGAGAATCCCAAGCAGGTTCTGAGCTGTCAGCACAGAGCCCGACGCGGGGCTCGAACCCACAAACCGTGAAATCATGACCTGAGCCGAAGTCGGACACTCAACCGCCTGAACCCCACAGGCGCCCCCTCCTTTAACTTTTTACTGGAGTGAAAGGTGCCCACGGGAAGCCGCCTGAGCCCCGGTGCGAGCGCAGGGATGGGACGGCTCCCCGCTCCCTGATCAGAACACAGGCGGCACACTGCCCCCCCCTCCCATGCGCACCCGAGAAGAACACAGGAAAGCGTGTGTCCCGAGGGCCGCAGGGATGCATTCGGGGGTTCACCATGGGTTTGGGGTCCAGAAGAGGGTCGGAAAACAAAAAGCAAAACCTTTGATCTCAAATATATTCAATTAAGACCGTCAAAACCAGGTTCTGTGATGATGCTTTTGCTTTTTTTTTTTTTTTAAGTTTTTATTTATTTATTTTTGAGGGAGA